ATAACAACTGTGAGAAAGTGCTTTGGGTGGGCTAATGCTATATAAATGTTTAAGAAAAGTGAGTCTCAGCATCACTTTAAATGCTGAAATTTCTATGAGGTTTTGACTCTTGTCACATATTTAATCAATTTAATCTATTCCGTTTTACAATAGACTCCCACCCCAGCGATCCTTTTCTTGGTCTTCTATCCCAGTCTACTGCTAGGCACATTTTTGAGGTGCTGAGGTAACTAGGAAGCACAAGACAGCAGGGATAAGTTTTTTTATGCCAGCTAACTGACTGAATCTAATCTGTTTCTGGAGTCAGCAAGAAACTCATCAACTTTAAAAAGATGGTATTAATACAGAATACAAAGTAATAACAATTCTTTTCTGAACCAATTATAGTTGTATGATAACCAGGAGTGGAACATCCAAGCCAGTAAATACGACAGGCTGCCTGATCCCCTCTTCCCCCTTTGTTCTGTGTTTGAATATATTATCAGCAAGTTAAAAATGGAAGTTTTTTTTATTGCAGAAAGAAGGTATGTTAAGGTTTTCATTACTCTTTAAGACTATATTTGTTTTTCCCCCCACTCAAAACTGCTTTATTGTACAAAATTCAACTCCAATCTTATTCTATCATCTCCCTATAAATTTATAATTATTCTATTTCTATTCATATTTAATCTATCTCCTTATCTTATGACTATAACTGTTGCTTGTATCTTTCAATTTATATTGTTTACTTAGCATTCTAGTATGATTTATGTAGATTGCTTATTTAGTATCCATGACTATCACTAAGTGTTGTATCTTATGATTTATGATGAATGTGTTTTTACAATGACTATGATAATAATCTATCACTATTGTTATACATATATTGAGATAAACTCCCTGTGTGTCTAATCACACTTGGCCAATAAAGAATTCTACATTCCACATATAAATTCTATTTCTCTGTTGTTACAATGTTTTCTTATCTGAACTGCTTCTTTTTAAAATTGTTCCTTTCCCCACAGATCTTCAGCTTTTGTAGCCAATCTCAGCCCAATTCTATGTGAAAACCCTTTTCATTCCTTTATACAGTACTGAATCAGAGGTGGTATTCAGCAGGTTCTGAAGAACCGGTAGTGGAAATTTTGAGTAGTTTGGAGAACCGGCAAATACCACTTCTGACTGGCCCCACCCCCATCTATTCTTTGCCTCCCGAGTCCCAGCTGATCAGCTGGGTCTTCTTTTGTTGCCCTGTACAGGAGAACGAAGCTGGAAAGCAGGTTAGTGGGGTGAGAAGGGAATGGGGATTTTGCAGTAATCTTCCCCCAGGAGTGGGGAGGGAATGGAGATTTTGCAGTATCCTTCTCCTGCCACATCCACCAAGCCACACCACACCCACCAAGCCATGCCCACAGAACTGGTAGTAAAAAAGTTTGAATCCTACCACTGTACTGAATGCCATTTTCTCTCCTGGCTCCCCCTAAAAGCACTCACATCCCTGTTTCTGGAGCTGGTCTGTAGGGCTCTGTACCTAAACTTCTGCATACCATGGACTTGGTTTGGTTTTCAGGCTTGCTTGAGTTTGCAGACTCTACTCCAGGGGTATCTAATCTTGCAAACTTTAGGATTTGTGGACTTCAACTTCCATTCCCATGATTCCCTGGGGAATTCTGGGAGTTGAAGTCCACAGGCCTTAAAGTTGCCACCCCTGCTCTGTTTTTTCTTACGTTCTTCTCCTTGGCCTGCTCTCAGCTCTACCTTTCAGGAGTCCTGCAACTCCAACAGTTGAAGTTTTCTGTTACTTTCCGAAGACTAGTGTGTAATATTTGCTTTTGGGTTAGTCTCCTTTTCCCAAGTTTCTGACTTCTGATTTTGACTGTTTTTCTCAACCCACACGCACGGTTGTTTTCAATTCTCTATTTTTAAGAAAAACTCTCCAATTAAGGAAAGGGTGTATCTATTATAACCATCCTTCCTAGAAAGCACTCAAACTCTGCATCCCTGGAATTAAAAATACCTGCTCACTCTCCCACGTATGACTGTGAAAAAATATTTAGCAGGGAATTTTCTACATACAAATAGTTTATGAGGTCAAAAAAGTTCTAGTTGAAAAAATAAGTGCCTCTAATGTCTCTGGATAAGTCCATTCACTCAAAGACTTGCTTTAAGGGCAGAACCTGACCGACCTAATCGTGGCTTGGAAGGGAAACAGGATTAATATTTAGATGGGAGACAACTGAAAATTTAAAAAAAAAACTTCCCAGAAGACGACATGCTATGACAAATCACTGCTATATTGTTGCTAAGAAATTCATTTTCTTAGCAAAGGTATTACAAGCTGCTGATCCTTATGATTGTAGTGACAAGTTTGAAGATTTATGACAGCAGAGGGATGTTTCTGCATAACCCAGAAAGGTTTTTAGACTTAAATGTGATATCCTTTGATCTTGCAGTTGGTTTTCAGATAGGAAGAACAGTTTGTACTGATTTTTTTAGAGGCCCTTGCATTTTATTATTGCTTAATTTATTACCTTTAATTAGCTGTATTATTTTTCCACTCCTAAAATTTCTCATCTGCTTATATTTCTGTTGTGGCTCCGGGCTTGGATTCAGCTCCTGTGATTGATATGAGTTCAAGTGAAGAGGTCATGGCAGAACGATATGAGCCAGCCTGGCTTACTGATTGGACTGATAACCAGGATGAGGAGATGGACGTGACAAAGGATGACAGACCTGATGCATTAGAATTGTCAGGACCTTTGACCTCCTCTGGTTCCTTATCTGATCAACAGCCGGGAATGGCTGACAGGGAAGTTTTGAGAGAGTCTTCTAGTGGAGATGAGAACTTGGAAAATTTGTGGTTAAATGTAAAAAAATAGAAGACGGTTGAAAAGGCAAAATCAGCTGGAGTGAATGAGAAGAGCAAGTCAGTAAATTAGCACGTTGCCTTAATGAGTATAAAAGGACACAGCTGGGCTGGTACATTTCGCCAGGAACAAAATAACTATTTGAGTGAGGACGTTACAGCAAAGAGCTCTGAGGCTGAGGATTTATTGCCAGGACTCATTTGCCGGACAGAGTAAAGATTTATGCTGTGGTTTCTGCCAGCCGTTATCTTGTAAGACTTCTTTCTGTTTGATTTAATTGTGAAACGGCTGCTTTCTGTTTTGTTCGTTTGAATTTTGAAGGGGAGTCATAACATATTTCCCTTCCCTCTATGGTGCTCTCATGGTCAGTCAGTACTAGAAATCACCCACAACAAGCAGAGCTCAGCAAAGAAAGCAAATTTTCATAAAGCTTTATTTTCATGATTTAAAAAAATTATTTTGACTGCAAAATCATTTTAGGATCCTTAGATACTTTGTTTGAATTGCTTGATTTAGAGCTACCAGCAATAAAACATATACAGCTGTAATTCTTCCTCTTCACCATCTGCTTGGACTTGAGAACATAGTGTGCATTATGAACAACAGGCTCTATCCATCTCATTGGTAAATCATGGGGATTAAATTCAAAGTTGTCATTCAAGGTTTTCACCTGTAAAAACAAATCTTGCTCTGGATCTGGATGAAAATATACATTTTTAGAGGTGGGGGCAGGTCCTTTCACTTTTTACAAGTTCTCATTCATTAGTACCATCAAATGCTTCAATTGTCCAGTTTTCCAGAGCATGGAAAAAGCGTTGGTGCAGGAAATAGACAATTTGGTTGGAAGAATTATGAAGTGGCTTTGCATGTAGAGGATATTACGGCTGTGCAATGCTTTGGAAATATTTCATTAAAAAGCATTTCAGAGTGCAAATGTAGTTTTGTCTGCAACTCATTAAAGTCTCCATGTTTCTTCCTCAAACCATGTGGCCACTCTCTGCAGCTGCTGCTTGATCCCACACAGCTGTTTAAAAGAGTTGGAAGAAGATGCTAAATTCATGTTCCTATATGCTCCAGAACAATCCAATTTTATAATCAAATTGGAAATGTTGCACTGTTTTTGAGCATGTATTAAACATATATGAACTGTTTGCAGTGTTATACCCATATCCTGATTTTGCACGAGTATACAGATGTTTATAGTGCAATATTGTTAAGGATTTCTCCTGCCTAATTTTTACACTTAAGATAAAGTTCCATTAAATATTTAAAGATGTACAACAATATATTCATTGGAAAAGACCCGGATGTTGGGAAAGATTGAAGGCAAAAGGAGAAGGATATGACAGAGAATGAAATAATTAGGTAATGTCATTGATGCAATGAACATGAATTTGGACAAACTCTGGGGGACAGTGGAAGACATACTATGGCATTCTATGGTCCATGGGGTCAGAAAAGTCAGTCACGACTTACAACTGAATAACAACAATAATATAGCTGGTTGCTTCACTGCTTACCTTAAAAGTTTTAAAGCAGATGAATTTTCTGTTTTTTTTATTCAAGCGTTTAAGCTCACTTTACTGTTACAGGTTGCAGAGAGTGACATCATTGGGGCATTGTCTGCTTTGCATCTTTCCATCACTAAAGCTTCTCTGACTATTCATATTTCTCTCCTGGTTTAGCTACAATAGCTCCTTGCATAACATAAGTAAAACGTCACTTCAGTCTGGGAAGTAAATGCGCATGTTCACCTTGTGGATCTGCTTTGATAGCCATCTGGCAAAGGATTCAAGGATTGAAAGTTCAGGATACTTGGAAAAACCAGGTTGAAGAATATTCAGATCTAACGTAATACATTCTTTTTATATATGGCATTCTTCTATAGAATGGGAGAACATCCATCACTGACAGCATGTTTGTCTCCACATGAATGCATCTGTGTGTATTCATGAGGAAGGGATTTTATTTTTATTTTTTTGCTGGAGTAAAGATGTCTTTTTTGCTGACCCTGAAACTGTTCAGCTTATTTATATATGTAAAATAACTGGAGGGAAGGAAAAGAGAATTATCCAAATATAAATTATTTTCAAATATTTCTAATGGAAAGAAGATAGAAAGAAGTAAGAAATCAATAACAAGTTTATTTACCAGGATAAAATTTGCATATAATAAAAAGACAATTATTTAGAAAAATTATTAGCCCTAACCTCGCTTAGAAACAAAGGTACATACATATATGCAGACACATATAGAACTTTTTAAAGAATTCACTGATTTTTTAAAAAGAGAAATCATGACAAATTCTCCAGAAATTCTGTCGAAATCAGGGTGGGCCTAGGAAATGTGCCAATGAGACTCTTTTGTTCAATTTTTGAACCAACTCATTTTAGTTGTTGATTTAAATAAAGATCCACTTTCCAAAGCAAGTATTTTGAGATGTTTTATTCAAGCATCCCTCTACCCTGGGCACTTCCAGATGTGTTCAAACTACAAGATGCTAGCTGGGAATTCTGGGAATTGTAGTATCAACAGATGTTGAATCTTCCTGAGTAAGAAAAGCTGTTTATTAGGAAGAGTCTGAAGGTTCAACTGTTCACCATGAAAGACAGTAAGTAAGAAAACCATGAACATATTCTTTTGGTCAGGAACATTAGACAGTGATGCTGTCTCTTCTGAAAATATAATTCAGCAAGGAAGGAATTTCTTGCTTCCTGCTCCCATTTTGCAAATTGTGAGTTCTGGGTTCAAATTCCATTTTTAAAAAATCAATAATTACTGAATAATCCCAGCAGGTCTTGATGACACTATATATTTAACTTCCTTTTCCTTCTCCGAAATGTTCATCTACCGAAATTCAATCAGTTTCATTAGAGTTCCATCTCAAGTACTCATCTTACCAAAAAGGAAAAAAAAATGTAAAATACTTTTTATAATTTAAACAATCTGGAGGAAAAAGAGTTCCACTCAAGATCCTGAGCAGATAACCATTGCAACCACTCTTGATATGCCAAGGATGAAGTACAGGAAATTTCTTTGCCTAAAATATAAGGTGTCTTTTCATGATAATCACTTTTTGTTGGCAATCTGGTTTTCCAAATGATCGATTCTGGCAGTCATCTGAGCAAGTGCTTGCATTAAGGAAGCCAAAACAAGAGATAATGTGAAGATACACAGAAATGTCAGTGTATAATGACAGATGTCAGGTTATCCTTTTTTTCCCCTTCCTTAAGTTTCCTCAAAGTGTAAACACATCATTATAAGCACTCAACTATATTCAATCCCTTACGCACTGAACCTTTACTTTTTACTTGCTATATTAGTTCCTAGAAGTTTAGCATACATTTTGTACTTTTATTAAATAGTTTATTGAACATTTCCCTAAATCTTCATTTTTTAAAATACTTGAAGACATCCAAAGTAAAAAGTTCAAAGTTTGCTAAAAAGATAGGTTTAAACAACTTTCCTATTTAATTTAATTTTTCCCAGTTTCTCCAGTCACACATTCTGTGCACTATTTAAAGGATATTTTTATTGGTGAGGTCTTGTAGGATTTCAATAGTGTTTGACTGGAACTGTACGAGAGCTGCACATTCACATGGACTACGGATTTCAGTTGTTCCTGTGCCCTCCTCTGAAATGCCACAAAATTCATTAGAAACATAGAAATTCAATCCCCTATGCATGAACCAGAGGCCCCATCCTAGGACAATCTTATATAAATTGATCTAATATGCCCATTTTGGAGGGTTCACACATAATAATAAACTTTGATTTATCTTAACCATGGTCTTCTTCAACCATAAGCCTAATAACATAGTTTAAAACTCATAAAAATGTACTTATTTAAGGACTCTGAAATACACTTAATGATGAGTATTTTTGTATGTATAGTTATACAGTACATATAATAAGACTTGCCCAAGGGTATAATTATGGTGTGAAGCAAATTTGATAAATTATTTTTTGTTGTTTTAGATTACAACATCATTTTGTTATGCTAAGGAACCTGGATCCTGAGTGATAGTTAGGATAAGATATAGACCAAGATGCAAAATAGACACGCTCCCATTGTACCCATAAAGCATGTCATCTAAATACTTGAAGCTGTAATATCTTACCTGGGCAGATACTGAGTTTGAGATTGTCAACTATATGAGTCATGGTGTTGAAATCTGCTGAATATGAAAAATGTTGATCCACTGGCTCGGAAGCAATTTCTCTCAGTTCTTCCTCGACAGCTTTACCAACTCCAACTGCAAACATGATGATTCCTGCAGATCCATCAACATACAGTAAATTTCAAGTTAGGTATCTATGCAAGGAATGGCAGCCTGATGCTTCAAGCTATAGTCAACCATTAATTTTGTTTTTACAGCCACTTGAACAAAGAGGTAAATAAAATCAAGTTTCCTTCTCAGAACACTTAGGAAGAAATAGAAAATTGAAGCTTTGCGGACATGGGTGATATAAGTCTATCCACTTTGCACTCTCAGCTCACAATCTCTACCATCATCTTCCTTCCAAAATGCTGGCTGTTAATAATCAATAATCAAAACTCAAAAGACTTTAGAAGATTCAAGCAGCTGTATCTGATGGAATTTTGGACCATCTGTGCCTCAATAGGACAATTACTCCTAACCATGACATGAAGATCTTCACTGAATGATCTTAAAAACTGATGACAGGTCAAATATTGTACTATTGAAAGCACCATAATAGATTCTTGGACTGCAGTTGCTTTAGCTTGTGGTTTAGATGGGAATGGGAGCTCCTTCACATTATCTAGATCACTGGTTTTTCAAGAATTAGCTAAATTCTGCTTAATACAGAGAAATGAAAGATGGATAATGTGTTGGAAAAGTAAAGATAAAAACAAATTGGATATTCAGATTATAGATTTGGAAATAGTTGTTAAGAGTACCATGGAAATGCCAATAAATCAGCTCTGGGCCAAATAAAGGCTAATTGTTTCCCTGAGTCAATAACTTGCAAGGAGAAATTCCCACTTTGGATATAGAATGCAAACACTTGATGTATTGGAAAAAATAACAACCAAACCGGTTGTTACACTGGTTGAATCCCACCACTGGTCAGGATGGATATAGCAAAAACAGGGTTTGGGTATATTACAATATCAATAGACTTCATGAACAATCTTTCAATATGATGATTATCTAGGTTTATTCTCCAATCACTGATCAGAGAAGAATAGAATAAAATTCTTTATTGGCCAAGTGTGATTGGACACACAAGGAATTTGTCTTGGCGTAAATGCTCTCAGTGTACATAAAAGAAAAGATACATTCATTAAAAGTCAAGTATCATAAGTTACAACACTTAATAATAGTCATAGGGTACAATAAGCAATCAAATCATACTAGGAAACAGTCAATATAAATCATAAGGCTGGTGAGTTTAGTAGTTTAGTAGTTACAGGATCCAGTCTGGTCCCAGTGACTGACTCAGATTGGATCCTGCAACATTATCCAGAGACATGCATGTTTGCCTTCAATTGTGAGTTAAGTAGTCATATACAATTTGAAACTGACAGAACAAGATGTGCTGCTTGTGGTTAAAGGCAGCTGAAAACAGCAAGAAGGAAAATGTAGATGGACTGACTGTATGGCCTAGCAAACAGAAATGAAGCAAAGAAAGTTTTATCAGTCTTTGCCAATAAAACAACTTAATTGCTAACATAATTTTCAAACAACCCAAATGACACACACATACAAATGGGTGCACAGAAATTAAATTAACTTTTATTTGTACAAGGAAGTTTCTTTTTTAAAAAAAGCCTAGTAATAGCAGCAAAGCCATTCTGAGTTACCCTGAGGTAAGATGGATGGCCAATAAATTTTTCAAATAAATAAAGGTGTAGCCAGGGGCTGACTATAGAACAGATCACAGCTGTTGTGTGCCACCTGAGATCACAATGTGAGACAGACAGCCATAAAAAATTATTTAAATGGGTAAATAAGTGTATATCTACAAAGATCTGATCTTCCAATATAAGATGTACACAACGATCTTCCCCTGAAAATGATAGTTAGAAGAAGAATAGAAGGAGTATTGACACTTTTAAACTTTGGAGAAGTCTCCTGGGAATGCACACCCAAGAAAATGGATCACAAAACAAATCAACTCACTCAAGATACAAATCACCAGACTCAAATGGTCATATTTTGGACATATGCAAAGAGCCAGCTCCTTTGAGAAATCGCTGTTCACTTTGTCACACTTAATGCTTTTGGCCATTCTTGTGGAGGCGGTGGGAGGGGAAAGCAAGGGTAGAAAGTCTGGATCAACTTCAGTGAGACATAAGGAATAAATAAAAACTAGCAGTGGACAAATATGTTTTCCTTAATTTTGAATTTAACTGCAAAACATGAGCTGTCTATCTATTTCATCACTTGGAATTTTAATAACTGCCAAAAAAGCAGCATCAGTGTCTCAGGGTGTTTTTTTTTTTTTAACATAATGTTAATCTAAAACTCTTATATATTCCTCCTTTGGCAATAACAGGAGGAAATTAGAGAATTGACTAATTAGCCATAAGCACCCAGCTCAAAAGAGATGGGAGCAATATAAGAAAACACCATCAATAGGAACATAATCGATGTTACTTTTAATGGAATAAAATAGGAGGAGATATCTGAGAATCATGCTTAGACCAGGTAGGTATGATTGGCTTAGACCAGGATTGAAAACTTGTTAGAATAGAATAACAAAGTTGGAAGGGACCTTGGAGGTCTTCTAGTCCAAACCCCTGCTTAGGCAGGAAATCCTACACCACTTCAGCCAAAGGTTATCCAATCTCTTCTTAAAAATTCCACTACTTGAGCATTTACAGCTTCTGGAGGCAAGTTGTTCCACTGATTAATTGTTGTATTTAACTCCCATCATCCCTGATCATGGTGAATGAGGAACTTGAGTCCAACAGCATCCAGCTGTTGGATTCTATCCCATGCCCAGCTGGACAATCTAGTTCTAAAATAATGGCAATGTCCTATTTTCCATTTCAATTTTTTTAAAAAAGGCTTGTCTAAATTTATATATTTGAGCACTTTGTTACTTGATGTTCTCTAGATATGTCATACACCTCTCTTAAATTTCAGCTGGAATGCTGGGTAGGATTTTTCAGAGTTAGATATCTGGAAGACCATATGGGAACACTGTAACTGGCTAATTATTTTATTAAGTCTTGACATTGGAAGCTGCAGATAAATTATTTCTGCCACCAGATAAATGATCAGTGTGTTATGCACAACTTTCAAGAAATACTTTAGCTTGAAGGCCTAACAGTAAAGCATCATTTCTGAGCTCTTCCAGGGATGATAGGAATTCCATACAACAGTTCCTATAGTTGGAAAGGCAATGGAACTGCTGGTTGAGTTGTTGCAAATCGCTTGGTAAGAACTGCACTGCTTCTATGGCACAAAGGATGGCAATGACGTGAAACCAAACCACTTCACACAAGCTTAGTGGTCAACCTGTTGTTCAAAAGAAGGCTATAATTTAGCATATCTCAGTCATGGGTTATAGCAAAATGTGTACATTTGGGAGGAGTTTTCAAGGATTAAACCAGTTCAGAGCTATTTATTATACTATCTATATCACTTAAATCTATGCAATTATGAATAATAGTGTTGCAATCCATTAAACACATTGTAAACATAGAAAAAGCTGATGTGTTATAGAGTTTAAAATACTGCACTGTGATAGGGCAGATCCAAGCACAATTGCACCATCAGCCATGGAAACTCAGTGGTTTACAATGGGGCAGTCATTCTTTTGCAGCTTAAGTTCTCTTGCAAGGTTGTTGATGTGAAGGAAAATTGGAGAAAAGAATCAGAATAATAGAGTTGGAAGGGACCTTAGAGGTCTTCTAGTCCAACCCGCTGCTCAAACAGGAGACCCTGTACCATTCCAGACAAGTGGCTGTCTAGTTTCTTCTTAAAAGCCCCAATGATGGTGTATCTACAACTTTTGAAGGCAAGCTATTCCACTGGTTAATTGTTTCCACTGTTAGGAAATTTAAAGTTTTTATTTAACTTTTAATTTTTTTTATTAATTTGTTAATTTAAAAATTAAAAATAAATTTGATTTTAAAAATGTTATTGATTGATTAAAATTTAAAAAAAATAATTTAATTTAAAATTAGAGAGCACTATATATGCTATCTTCAGCCTCCTGGACAAAAGGCAAGATATGAACCTTAGAAACAATGCAAATATATCACACTTTCCATTAATTGCCTTACCTGATTCTTTTGCTTTTCTAGCCCATTCTGAAATGTCATCCTGAGAGCGTCCATCCGTAAAGACCAGGCCAATCCTGGGAATGTTCTGGGAAAGTGGCCGGGCACCTTCTGCCTCAGAGAAGCTGTGTTCTACTATGTGCTTGAGGGCCAGTCCAGTCATGGTGCCCTTTTCCATGTACTGCACTCTTTGAACAGCTTCCTTTATATCATCTGCTGTTGTGAATTTGTTGAGTGGGAACTCAGTGCGCACTCGGCTAGAGTACTGGACCAGCCCGACATGGGTGCCTTGAGGGGACACATCCAGGAAATCCACTATCTGGTTGACAAATTGTTTCACCAGCTCAAAATTCTGGGGCCGGACACTCTTAGAGCCATCGATGACCATCACCAAGTCAATGTGCCCAGCCTTGCACTCTATTGCCCATGAAAAGAAAAAGAAAAAGCTGAGATGAGGCAGTTTTGATTTTGACTTCAAGAAAGAAAGGAAAGGAAAGGAAAGGAAAGGAAAGGAAAGGAAAGGAAAGGAAAAGAAAAGAAAAGAAAAGAAAAGAAAAGAAAAGAAAAGAAAAGA